TAAAATGGACTAGCCTCTTTCATGTTGACATTCAGAGTAAAATCATGTGACAGGCTGTTAAAATTGGCTGTTGCATACACTTTCGCCGGTCTGGAAAATGTGTTTGATTAGCTCTCATTCCAGCAATAATGCAGATTTCCCAGTGGGAGTGAAACTATTCAACTCTGCCATTAAACAATAGGGGTGTTTTCAGCAAAAAACGAATAACCATGGAATGCACACAACACACTGAATTTCGGAACAAATCGTCCATTATTTACAGCAGTAGAATACCACAGAAATATCAGACGAAAAGTGAAAACACTATATATTGTATTTCAGCCTGAGCCCTCTCTATTGCAATTCTAAGAATTAACCCCATATGTGCATCCATTTCCCACCTTGGTATCACCCACCCCTGAAAACAAACTCTTAATACCACGCTGAAGCGTTTGGTAACAAGTGCCATACCATATTCAGTTCAAGTTGATTGCCACATTTTTTGTTTTAACCAACAGTTAATATTGCGACTGTCTACAGACCTCAATGGGCACCTTTTTGGGTCCCTGAAATGTATGTCCACTCATTTTAATAATACCGTCTGGTAGAGTAAATCAATTACGGAGCCACGGCTTTCTTTCGACCGTCAATGCCCATCGAATGTGATGTTCACACACTCATACAACGTTCACTTATTCACGCAACACGTGATTCCATCATATTTGCACACTGTACGCTAACCTCACTGTACAATGTCTAAGCATGGAGCTAATGGTCTAAGGTAAATGTTGTAAAGTTTGACGAGGATGTACGTCTTTACTTACAGTATCGTGAAATGTTTGCTGCAATGAAATACTTGCCTACTACTATTGCCTAGTATAACATTTGCATATGTGATTTACTGACCCCCTAACCACATTACTGTTTTACAGTGATCCGCTACCCGTTCAAAAATTCAGCCTACCCCCAGACGATAAATAATGGCTTGTTCCGAGTCCTATGCTGATGTTTTAGTATTCACGCACAATAGTCGTGAAATTCACTAGGTTTTCGTTGACTGTGCTGTTCCATTACTAAACGCCATGCCCGTGACCATTGAAGAGTGGTTTATACATAATCGGTTCTAAATATTGGACAAACATCATACTTGATTTCGTGTCTGTTTTTGTACTTGACAACAAATTATTTTTATAAAATATTCCCATTCTCCAAATGGGTGAACCGTGTATTGCGAATAGAGCACTGTATTCAGGTTCCTTTGACTCGCGTGGTAGATAACACTCACACGTAGCGATACCAAGTTCGACCCAATTTGAAAGGAATACATAAAGCTCATTACAGATAGGCGAGCTTTATTCATTCAAACCGTCAGCTGAGGCAACGCCCCGCTGTTCATTTCTCTTTTTCTCCCTTTCTCTTCCTTCTCTCCGTTTCTTCCTACAAGTCTTACAAACTCGATTATAAAACTCTAAGGCGTGGCAGAGAAAACATGCGATCAGCCAATCGCTGCAGCCGTGGCATGATCACGTGATTCCCAGGGATATGTCTCGCGATTAAAGCATTGCGCAATTGCCACTACCGAATACATTGTTACGATAAAATTCCTGCAATATATGTTTATAATGTCTACTTTAATCATGCAAGTTGTTGATCCTAAATAATACGACTGCAACGTCGTGTGGAAGAAGTGTGCGTGGGTGATGTCATTATGATAACACTGTATTGTAAGAATCACTAGTTTGAATTGTCCTAACTACACCTGTAAAATATGGGTGAATCGCCGTTTAGTGTCACGACAAATTCCGACTAACTTATCAGTGACGATAACCATAGTCGGCCAATGACAAGCATGCATTTCTAATAGGTGACACCAGTTTAATTGTCATCGCGGTGCAACGTGATATTAAAACACTAGGAAACTTTAAAGTGAAAGAAAACGGGTGGGAAACTCATGCTTCCGTTGGCAAAGGGGAAAAGTCGAGTCAATATACTTGTAACCAAGCAACTGTTGAGTATGCTGTTATACAAACAAACTGTGGATCTTTATTGGAGATATGATCGGCACTGATTGAGTCGGGTTAGGATTCTGTCAGAGACAAAAGCAGGTCTTACAAAACGCAATCGACACACATGGTTCATATTGCAAAAATGTATATTATCTTTCAAATGAACAGTACATCATGATTAGATATAAAATCTACAGTTTTGAAAAAAAATACACACTGCAAGAAAAACACCTCTATGATATACGCATTAAGCTGAACACACAAAAAAGCATGTTTCTAATCAAATTGTTTCTATAAACACGAGAGACGTATCATAAAAAAGTTTGATGCCATGTTATATTGATTAGATATACTGATATCATGTAAACAATTTACAAGCGACTCTGAATATATAATGAGACACAACTTAACATTTTAAGGCAGAAAACGAAGATAACCAATTATCGTCAAAACAGCAAAAGTCAGTGTTATGGACATGGAAAATTAGTTTTAATCTGCAACAAATAATAGCATTTGTTAAAGAGAAATTTAAAATTGCAAATGTTGCTATATACATGAGTATTTGAGTAAACATATTTTAAATTGACTTATTGACAAGTTCATGTACTGGGTGTAGTTCTGGGTGTCTTCACTAGTATATGATGACACGCATTGGCGCATGCGCAGGAAGGATATTCACTTCGACTCAGACTACGAATGAGATGAGAAGCAATAGTTGTAGTATAATTCAAACAATATCATCCTATTTTCCTTTCTAACGACTTAATTTCAGGTCAAATTATATTATATTTGCTGTTTTGGACTAGAAATGTCAAATACCAGTTCTCATTACACTTTACGAACGATAACTGATAAAATGTTTGACTCTTTTGGGATCTTCTTTAATTTTCACGTAAATTTTACCAAGGACGTCATTGAACCGTATACTCCGTAGACTTTTTAAGTTACCAATGCCTTCGGGCAGCTTCTCCAGTTTATTATCAGTAAGGGACAAGTCTTGTAGTTGTTTCAGACTACTGATGTCCGGTAGTGACTTAAGCAAGTTGTTGTGAACCCACAACTTTGTCAGGCTTCCTAGCTTTCCAATCTCATCGGGTAAAGATTCCAGCTTATTCTCCTGTATCATCAATTCTTCCAAATTCCTTAGCGTACTAATGCTCTCTGGCAGCGACGTAAGCGAGTTACCGAACATCCACAATGTTTTTAAAGTGATGGGTAAATTAGATATACATTCTGAAAATTTGGAATTAGGCCTTGTTTTATTGTTATTGCCCAAATACAGAGCCGTAAGTTTTTTCAGCTTCCGAATATCAGGCAATTCAGAAATCGAATTATTATTCGCGCACAACTGTGTAAGGTTTTCTAGCTTACCAATTGATTCGGGTAAGCTTTTCACTTTGTTGTTACTTATATTTAAGTACTCAAGTTTACTTAATTCGCCAAAATTGTCTGGCAGTGTATCAAGCTCATTGTTTTTTGCAAGTAATTGTTTGAGATTTGTTAGTTCACATAGTGATTCGGGTAAGCATTTTAGTTTGTTATTATTTATATTCAAATAATATAGTTTTTGTGAATAATTGATATCTTCGGGTAATGTAGTCAGATAGTTGCTCTGTAGGTCAACTTTTCTTACTCTTTGGAAATTCTCCAGCAGTTTCTCAGGGAACTCCTTTAAATCCGATTTAACAGCGATATATTCCTTTTCATTCTCATTCCAATGCGAATCCATTCTAAAAAAATAAAAATTAACAATAATTGTAATAACATAAAATTATGTACATTAACATGATCATTGATGCAAAATACTTATTCCTATTTCAGAACAAATAAACAAAACTACCAATTATATCATTGAATCATATTTAAGAATTAATTATTTGAAACATAATTATCAACTAGTTTGAATTACGTGGAAACCCAATGTACAAACTGATATAGAACTAACGAAACCCTTTATATATTTTCTAATCGTCGTGTCTTTGTGTATAACAATGGAGTACAGAAAACAATCATTCCCGGCCGAGAATAATTAACATATATAAGATACTGGACCAATCACCATTTTGTGTCACGTGTGTACGTCCTTTGGTGTTTCTGCTTTTTCATAACTGTATGACGACACGAATACATTCCTATAAGATTTGTCTGTGCCTCTGAGTAAAATTGGGATAATCCGTCGTTGAGCCTGACGCACCCTAATATATTAATTCAAATTAGTCAAAACATACCGTTGTCACCGTAGACCACACTCACTCACATCTAATCTCAGATTGGAAAAGTGATTTAAGCAAGATGTATTGTCAAAACTGACCATTGTAAATAACGAACCCTGTCGTTTTGCAAAGTCTGATGACAATAACTGACCTACGACACGCCCGTGTTCAACTGTTTTATCTTTGTCGCAACGATCGTATTTGGATACTAGGACATTTCGAAGTGAAAGAAAATATTTCGGCCAAACACACATGTTAGAAGATAGGGGATAATCTTGTAACCTAGCAACTTGAATTATCTTGCATGATGTTATAAATTATTTGTGAACTTTGAATCGAGATGCAACGCGTTTACAGCAATTGTTTGCTCTATATCAGTGTTTACTCTACCAGCTGCCCAACGAACGATGACAGTGACTCGTCGTAGATTTAAGACTCCCAACGGGGTATACTGACTACCGTTAAGGAGACTTGAGAATCACTTACACTGCGGTCGTTATTGCAAGTAGCAAAACAACCAGTACGCATGCGTATTAGAGAATTGAATTGTTTCATGGAACGCTTACTAAGATGTGTACTACAAAACGGCATTTCCAATTGGGAAATGAAAATCATAGTTCAATGTATCTGTTAATGTTCAATATCGAATAATAATACTAAAAAATAAATATTCCGGTACATATTTCATCGTTAATCGATACCTATCCATATTCCCTGTGATTTAGCTTCCGATTTCGCAGCATAACATTTACCGGCATCTACAGCTATAGTAAGATTCATATGTTCAGAATCTCCACTGTTTTATTAGTGTTTTGAACAAACAAACTACTGTAACAGACTTGTATTTTGAACTGTTGAGGGTAGTGGTGATACAATCAGGATATTTATTCGTGGAGACATCAGATACAGTGATAATACAGTGAAGTGTAAACTTGGTTTCCAGGCGATGGCTTTACAGCCACGCCTAGAGACAGACCTCCCGTATAACCTCCGCTCCCTCTTTCTCATCAGTCCCCCTATTTATAAGTGAAACCACGTGATATCGTGACGTCACTACGACGCCGAGCACAAGTCAACGTGATTGGTTAGAACTTACTAACATGCCAAATAAGGAGTGCTAGACAGTCATGGTGACGTTTGACACGGCGTGTATAAAAGTGTTAATATGGTTCAGGCTTTAAACAATACATTAGATATTACATATAGGTGTAGGAATGTGAACATTAAAGTAATAAGCATGGGAAAGTTAACACGTATTGACATAGACAATTGAAAGCAATTGTCATGTCATACGTGTATGCGGGTACCACATCAGATTGGTGACACTACCCAATTACAAAGTGACTGAGGTAACGAGGGTGGACATGAAAAAAATAAAAGAACAAACACATATATATGCGATGTTGTCATGGAATAGTTTTCATCCTTAAACGATTGATATTTAAGTAATTCAGACTAAACTCCCATCGACAGTATCTGACCTACCTTATAGTAAAACTGTACCCACCTCAATATGAGAAAGTAGTGGCAAAGGTTTATAAAATAACACAGTTACAGGTGTATACGCCCCGCGTCAGTTTTCAGTCTATGCGATATTCAAATAAATCAGTAATGCTGGTTTTGACTTAAAATGACTCTACAGATGCTTCCGAGCCACTGCCGTCTCTATCACTATGCCGCAAGACAATTCCTTTATATAAGCCGGGTATACGTAACTATTTAACATATATTTTTGGCAATGAATCAATTTCCAGGGTTGTCATGGTGACTTGGTGTTTATTAGTAAATACACGGCTATTGGCGTACACAGGTGATTGTTTTCGATAACTTAGGGAGTATTCAAAGAGCAGATGAGAAGTGGTAAAATTTCGTTCAAGGTACATATTAAGCAAGAGGTTGGGGATGTCCGAACGGAACAACAGCGTGCAGGCGGACGATGAATGAAGGAAAGGCTACGAGAGGTCGTACAATGTTAGTATACATCTAATCATCTGGGAATGAGGATATAACTGTTTGTTTTTTTTGTATATAGGAATGTATCAGACAACCCCTTTTAGAAATGCTTCATTTTTTTTTGGCAATGAATCATTTTCCAGGGTTGTCATGGTGACTTGGTGTTTATTGGTAAAATACACGGCTGTTGACGTGCACAGGTGATTGTCTTCGATAGCATAGGGTGTATTCAAAGAGCAGATAAGAAGTGGTAAAATTTCGTTCAAGGTACATATTAAGCACTAGGTTGGGGGGGGGGGTTATGTCCGAACGGAACAACACCGTGCAGGCGGACGATGAATGAAAGGAAGGCAACGAGAGGTCGTACAATGTTAGTATACAACTTATCCTCTGGGAATGAAGATATAACTAGATTTACAAACTGATCTGTGACATTCTGTGTCCATGCTGCCTTAATAGTATAATTGTTATTTAACGTATAATTTAACATGGTATTTGACGTCGCAAAGGACTTTGAATTTGCAAACTAATGGAGGGCTGGGCAGTTTTGTAAAATATTAGAATCAGATTATTCACAGTAACATAGAGGGACTGTGGATTAGTCATCATGTCCGACGTAGTTGCAATTTTGGCAAAAAGTAGGGGAAATCCCAATATGGGATTTCTAGAAATCAGCAATTGTGTTTCTTATAAACAAGAGTGGACTTTGAAAGGAAAAGCGCACACAACAACAGGTTTATTTTGTTCCGGCGGTAGATGAAACGATTATGTAATTCACACCACTTGCGTGTCAGTATTGGCGACAATTATTAAGTAACTTTGATAATTCCAATATTTGAGGCATAGTCACCTTGATAAGATCACGTGACCATACTGGAGGACGATACGACATCGTGGTCGACTCATCTTGAATTTTCAAGGTGAATGTTCCGGCAAAAAGGAATGTCCGAACGCAACAATGCCGTGCAGGCGAACAATGGGTCGACTCTAATCAGTACGCCGCCAACGGCGCTAGGACGAATCGTCTGGCATTATAGACTGAACATGGCTTACGATGATTGTAGCTGCACAAAGAACTACACATGAAGTCTTGTAGATGACCAATAAGACGACAGTTATAAGATACAAATCAGTGAACGCAATGGGTCTAACCAAGATGAGTGAAACTATTTGATTTGATTAATCAAGAACCTTGTCAAACTAGCAGGCATTACGAGAGTGCAAAACCTCCGAATAGAAACAAATTACTTATCCTCACTAATACCGCTAAGCCTATTTTATAAATGTCTTCTTATGACAATGTACTTTTATCATAATATACAATTTTATTTATTTTTTTAAAAGAAAGACTAAATTTAATCTTGAATATTTTATTCAACAATCTCTCCTAAAATCTAATCGCGGGAATTATGTCTGAAGGACCCCCCCCCCTAAAAAGTCAGAAAATCTAGCTTCAACCTGTTAAATTTCCTGGCAATGAAACCTCATTGTTACCATGGTAAAGAAATCTAGATAAAGCCGATTGGCACGTTTTCAGAAAAAATCATGAGAACCCATCAACAACTTTAATTTTTGAGTCAAGGGCAACATTTCATAAAAAGTTTATCTGAAACTGTTTGAGATATCAATGGAAAATCAATCGGTTCCGAAATGGGTGTTTTCATGGTAACCGCATTAAAAATTAATGGCTTCTTCTTTATGTTAAATACAAACTCTTGTGAAAATGTCATGCAAATGCGTCTATAATTTAGTTATTGTGCATACAGTCAAACTCATACACTGGCAGAAAACATAATAATAACAATAATGTTGCCGTGATATAAATACAATTTACAAGCATTACAAATAATGTACTACCATTACTAAGAGTAGATGAACATGAAATTAAAGTTATATCACATGTTTAAATTGACTACTTTGGCGTGGTGGGTGGGGTTTGCACAACCGTCACACTGTCTGCACAATGTATGGTAACAATGTGAGCACGTACAACTATGTATTAAACCGTTCATCAGATCTAATACATTTTATAAATATACCAGAAACAAAAAAACAACAAAACAATAACCTTTTATACCAGTACAATTTATTTATTCAGTTTTATATGTAATTTGGCACGTGACTTATAAAACTGCTGTAAGTTCAAATGGTTCATGACATAAGTACATTACAAGTTATATTTACACCTAACGTCCCATCTGACGCCCCAAACCATTACATTCCCGCCAGTTCAGTCTGAATAAACCACGCTATTTACACGTTATCAGCAACAGTTCAAATATTGCCGCAAGAGTTACCGAATAATTGATGAAATGCCTCAAAATATTTACATGTTCCTCAAGTTAATCATATAGTAATTAATGTATTTGTAATATAGCAGGTAATTAATTTGACTCCCAGGCCAGAAAAATATACTAGATTGTTTGAATATTTCTGTATGCATATTTTCATTCGTGACAGTAACATAGACCGCCTGAATTCAAGATGGCCGAATCAAGCCATTAAATACATTAGAACACTAGAATACATTAGAACTAATTTACTTATACTAGTCAAAATATAAAATTATTTTGAGTCATTTACTGCAATTTAATTATGCAGTTGAATTGGTAATTTATTTTTTTTCTTCCACTGGCAATACTCTCATCACTCATTGAGATACAGCTGTTTACTCAGTGTAGTGAATGTCGATGTACACTGTGTATAGGCACCCCCACTCATCATCTGACCTACTTCTTCGTTAACTTTGGCAAGAACTGAAACAAGATCATGCGTTTTTCCATGCGTATTGATATTTTCAACTAACTTGGTGATGTACCAGGAACCACGCCGTGTGTCCCTCCAGGACACGTATCCTGGCACAGAGGAATACCCGATAATAAAGTCCGCCTCATTCGGCATCACATCAAGTGACGCTTTCTTTGCATCAGGGTGAACGACGACAGCTTTCATGGATTCTGACCCCTGACAAGCTTGAATGAAGAATATCTTCGGCTTTCTAATGAGAGTGGGACAGGATGTTGCCGTGAGATAGAATACAAACAACGATACAGTTGGCTTTACGATGATTCTGCATGCTAATACCTCTGATGTAGGTCTCCATGTCATTAGCTGTGACGTCATTATATACATGAACTGTGATGTCCAGATTTTCAAACATTTTTTCCAAGTTTCCTGGAATTCGATAAAAAAATAATAGACATTACAAAATTTTAGCAGTGCCTCTGTAAATTATTGTTTCCAATTATTGTTCGGCTCATTGAGCCGAATGATATGTTTGTCAAATTCTCTGTAGTTACCAAGTAATAAAAAAACGACCAACTTGAAGGTGGATTACAATGATGCAATGGCAAAACTGTCTTTAATATGATTGGTCTAAACACACCAAGAATCAAAATAATTTAACCTGGTCTGGATTCAACTCGTCCCAACAAACCAAAAATGTCAGATTTACTGGAACTCTTATTTAGTGAACAATATCAGCCAAGGCGTCCAAATGCTCATGAAAATACACTATCAATACACATCACATTGAAGGCAATACAGCGACTATGGTACGATAAGAAATTGAAAGACATATAATAACAGGGAAAGGCAACGCTAGACATGAGTTTATATTAAAGGGTGGTAGTCGTCGCGCCACGCAAGCGCAAGATATATAATAAAAAGATGGCGACTTTGGCTGTTGGGCAGACCAATGAGTACAAACTGACACGTTACCACGCTTTAATTAGGTATTTTTTAGGTGATTGGAGGGTATCGAAGGAGTCACTGGCGGTAATTAGTGAAAGTTGCGCCCAGGTCAAACCTTATACTTGAACTTTCCATTAGAAGAGCGCATTGGATTGTGGGAAAATCTTATTAGAATTAGATTATTCACAGTAACATAGAGGGACTGTGGATCAGTCATTATGTCCGACGTAGTTGTAATTTTGGCAACCCAAGTGTCGCACATGCGCGGCGCGACGATTACCGCCATTTAAACCTAATAAATATAAATACCCCTAAACAAAGACAATGTCATATATAGTTGCAAGCAACAATGATCGGGTTGGGCAAATAGACTACTGAACCCACGATGCTATGACTATGTCACTGGCTACTAGGGGCATACCCATCAATAATCTTTCGAGCAAGAAAATGAATGTGTAGTCACAGTAAAGAAACTTGTGTCTATATATCATTTGAACTGGTTGTTATGGGTTCGTAGGTGTCAAAATATCCCTTTTAATCAATATTAATTGTTATTTATGCCAAACATGCTGGGTGGCTGTTTGTTGCTATGTGCGTTGGCTTAATTAATTGTTGGCTCATGCATTATATTAATCAGAGCAAAAGCAATATGTTTGTGGGTGGCAAATGCATTATGCTAATGATGGTGCTACCCTGGCCTAAACAAGCTGCCTGATTTGCTACTTAGATGACTAGTCAGGGATATTATTTTGACTCCATCTTCACAAACCTAGTGTCCTTCAGAAAAGTGTTGTGGAACGAATTTGATCGAAAATTGTCTTCCAAAGGAATTACTCTCATTTAAAACATAAAATGAGAAACGCGAAACCTAAAAGAACATTACTGTTGATTCAGAGAGGTATACTTACGTTCGTCAATACCAGTGCCATCTCTGTCAGCCATATTTCCATTGAATGTATGATTATTAAATATGATGGCCTGACCTTTTGGTTTATTTCCCATCACATATCTTTGAATACCAGCACCCATCGGCACTTCCTCACTGTGTTTTAGCTTTGTGGGTGTTGACATTGTTGTTGATTCCGTGGGACGAGGATTTGAGTTGGTCTCCTCGTTGTATAGCTTACTAAGTAGTTGTTGAACCTTGCCTTTATTATCTTTAATATCCACATCAAACTTTATAGTATGGAGGTGACGTAATGTATCAATTCCTCTTGGCAATGACTGCAGTTCATTGTTTTCAAATCTGAACTGCTCTAGTTTGTGTAGATAACTCATATTAGGCATAGATACCAGTGCATTCTTAGACACCACCAATGTTGTCAGGTTCTTTAGTTTTCTAATACTTTCTGGTAACTGTGATAGTTGATTGTTAGCCACATGCAATTTCTCCAGTGTATGTAGATTTCCAATCCTATCAGGTAATGTTGTAAGTGAATTATTATTCACACACAGTGTCTTAAGCCATGATATTTTACCGATATTTGTGGGTAAGAATGTCAGGCTATTAGTGTCTAGCTGCAAATGCTGAAGTTCATGTAATTCACAAACGCTGTCAGGTATTGACGTAAGTTTGTTATTGGACGCCCACAATGTTGTAAGATTTGTCAGGTCACCAACACTATCAGGTAGGGAAGACAGATTATTCTTGTGTATCCGCAAATCCTCAAGTTGGTGTAGATGACCAATGTTGTGAGGTATTGAAACAAGTGAATTCTCTTGCACCCACATGGTTTTCAAATCTTGAAGTCCACCAATACTTTCTGGTAAAAGTGTTATTTGATTGTCATGCGCATACAGTCTAGTAAGCCACGTGAGATGACCAATACTGCTAGGTAATGATTTAAATAAATTTCCACTCACTGACAATTTTTTAAGTCCATGTAGGCTACCAATATCCTCAGGTAAGTATGACAAACTATTCTTGTGAAGCTGCAAATCCTGAATTTGTGAACAATTTCTTATCGTACCATTATTTATTGATACCGTAACAAGTGAGTTCCTGGAAATCCACATTGTTGTCAAATTCCGTAGTTCCCAAATACTTTCTGGTAGATGTGAAATTTGATTACCATGTGCGTACAATCTGGTAAGCTGCTGAAGATCACCAATACTATCAGGCAATATTTTTATTGAATTTCCACTAATCGACAAATTTTTAACATGTTTTAGTTTACCGATTTGACTAGGCAAAGATGACAGTTTATTCATGTGAAGTTGTAAATCTTCAAGTTTATTCAGATCACAAATGCTGTGAGGTAAGCGTGTCAGTGAGTTGCTGGACATCCGGAGTTTTCTTAACCATTTTAGTTGACCGATTCTTTTGGGAAGGAATTGGATATTATTCCCGTGTAGCTGTAAATCATGAAGTTTGTGTAGATCGCAAATGCTCTCAGGTACTGAACTAAGTAGGTTATTGGAAACCCCAAATTTTGAAGTTTACCAATTGTAATGTATTCACACAAGTCCAACCAGTGAGGCAGAAATAGCTTTTATTCATTCACACGATGTTTCATACAGGCCGCCATTACAAGAATGTCGTCATACCAGAGAATAACTTACATCACGTGTTAGGGGTCATCTCCAATGACCTACAAGTAAGGGGCGTCTCACAAATATATATAACATGAGTACAAGTATACATTACACTTCCCCCTTTTTAAGCTGAGAACTTGTACAATAGAATCTCAAAGTTTAAATTCAAATGTTCTTTGCCTACTTTAACAAAATCACACTAAACGTTAAATCCTAT